TGAACTCTGTTGTGGGATTCGCCTTGAATCGCACTACGAAGGTGAGGGGATAAATAGGAGGAGAGGCAGTGACGTTCCAGGTGTACAATTGGGCTACACACAATTTCATATCAAACAAGATGTAGACAAACTGGGGCTAAAACTAGTTGACACATGATGTTTTGGAGTGATGATAGACACAAGAAAGGTGGAGAAGAGGAGAGGGATCTATCTGGGTTTAGTGGTAGAGCTACTGGGGATTCACATCTGGAGGTTTTCTTCGATTGGAATTGGGAAGTACTGACTTGATTTTGGGATTCAAATGACTACTAAGGCAAACTGGAGGGCCTTAACTATGTAGATCCAGATGGAGAGGAGAAAGGTGATAATCAAGGGAGACCCAGCTTATCCAAAGCTATAATTTCTTTGAAAACTATGATTCATGCTATAAAGGGGAAGAAGGGAGATTCTTTGTGGCGCTCCAAATTTTGGAGGGAGGAGAGGTAGAGGAGTTAGAGGGTATTCCAGTCATTATCCAACCACTTCTTCATTAGTTCAGGAAGGGTTTAAAATTGCGCAATATGAGGCTCGCCTTTGTGCAATTCCAATAAAAAACGCCTTGATGCTTACGCCTCGAGTTTTTTTTATGAGGCTTGCGCCTCAACTTGGTTGAGCCCCGCCTTGAGGCCCGCCTCGCCTCACTGGCATGAGGCTTACGCCTCACGCTATATATATTAAAACTTACATAAATCTTGAAGTAAATGCCCGACATTGGACTCTATAGGCGAGGAGGAAGGGGAGAGAGCAGTTCATCATAATGATGATTCAAATGAAGAACCCCTTAGTGATGACAGTGCTGATGACTTATGAGTTCTTATGCGATATGTCATTGTTATTTAATATTTATTTTTGGAAATTGGAATTATATGTTAATGAAAAGAATACTGGGATTTGAGAAAGATAGAATTTTGAGTTGAACTATATTTCATATTGTCTTATCATTGGGATATTTTGATTTCACTTCATATCTTATACTTTTTTATGTTTTATATTATTCACTCATTAGCATATAAAAAATTTATCATTTTATGTTTACACAATCCTTTGATTTTGAGGCTTACGCCTCAAAACGCCTTGTGGCTTACGCCTCGCCTCACGAATGAAAAACGCCTCGAATACGCAATTTTAAACATTGAGTTCAGGGAAGCATTCTAGCTTCCGCGGGAATTTCCACTCCCACGGGAGCACGTGCACGCCATTGTTTTGAAGGAAGGAGTCTCCTTCATTAGTGTTCGACCATACCGCTACCATCAGATCTTGAAGGATGAAATTGAAAGACTGATTTGGGAGATGCTCAAAGCTGAAATTATCTAGCCTAATGTGAGCCCTTTCTCTAGTCTGGTATTATTAGTGAAGAAGGATGAAAGCTCGAGATTTTGTGTAGACTACGATGCCCTGAACAAGGAAATTATACCTGACAAGTTTCCCATACAAGTCATTGACGAGTTGTTGGATGCGTTGTATGGATCTGTGATATTCTCCAAGATTGACCTGAAGTCCAGGTACCACCTGATCATAATGCGATTAGGAGACACCCACAAGATAACTTTCAGGACGCATAAGGGACACAATGAGCTCTTGGTGATGCCTTTTGGCCTCACCAATACACCGACCACTTTCCAGTCTATGATGAATAGGGTATTCCAGCCTTACTTGCGAAGGTTTATGCTGGTATTTTTTGACGAGATATTGGTATATGGCAGTTTGAAAGGGAGCACTTGGAACATTTGGGGGTTGAGTTGTCTACCTTAAGAGAGTGTTCTTTGTTTGCCAATCAGAATATGTGTTCTTTCACCCAGCCAAAATTGGAGTATTTAGGGCATGTTGTATCTTAGGAGGGAGTGGCAGTTGATCAGGGTAAGTTTCAGGCCATGCTCAAATGACCCATACCCAAGACTTTAAAGGAGCTGGGAGGATTCTTGGGATTCACTTGCTACTATCAAAAATTTGTGAAATGATGCAGGTCTATAGTAGAGTTGTTGACAGAACAACTCGAGGATAACTTCAATTAGGGAAAGTTAGCCACCCAGGCTTTTTAGTAGTTGAAGAAAGCTATGACCAGTGTGCTAGTATTAGCTCTCTCAGATTTCAGCTAGCCTTTTGTAGTTGAGACAGATGCCTCGGGATTTAGGTTGGGAGTGGTACTCATGCAGAACCAGAGACCAGTGACCTTTTTCAGTCAGGTGTTGACAGCTAGGGCATAACTCAAGTCATTCTATGAGAGAGAGAGCTGATGATGATTGCGTTGTCCATTCAGAAATGACGGCCTTATTTACTAGTAAGTCACTTCACTTGTTAGAACTGGCCAGAGGAGTTTGAAGTATTTGTTTGAGTAGAGAAATGGTCAATTGAGGAGCATCAAAGGTGGCTTTCTATGTTATGGGCTATGATTTCGAGATTCTATATCAAACTGGGGTTGAAAACAAAGCAACAGATGATTTATCCAGGTGCATGAGAGAGCTCTAGAGGATGGCATTGTCTATATACCCTTAGAGGTTGACTAGGAGGCATTGAGGAGATAGAGAGAGCAAACAATATGTAAGGTTGAGGAAAATTAGTGAGGCGTTGGTGGAAAATAAGGATAGCCATTTGGGATATTCAGTGGTGGGACAAAGTTGCTTCATCATGGGCGGTTTGTGCTTTCAAAGACCTCTCCTTACATTCCTTGCTTGCTTCAGGAGTTTTATGGGACACTCATTGGGGGACATTCGGGGGTCAAAAAGATATATCGTTGGTTGTTTGCAGAGCTATATTGGGAGGGTATGTAGAAGGATGTCAAAAAGATTCTGGCTAGCTGTGATATATGTCAAAGGCACACAAATTTAGCGATGTCTCCAGGAGGGCTCCTCCAGCCTTCAGCTATGCCAGAAAAGGTATGGGACGAGGTGACCATGAACTTTATTAAAGGGTTGCTAAGGTTAGAAGGATACTCTATGATACTCGTGGTAGTGGATTGGTTGAGTAAGTATGCCCATTTCATTCCCCTTCGCCACCCCTATACAACAATATCAGTAACAACGGGCTTTATGAGGAGTTGGTGAGCCTACATGGGATACCCGAATCAGTTGTATTTGATTGCTTTCTGAGCCAGTTCTGGAAGGAAATGTTCAAGATGCAGTGGATTGTTCTGAAAAGGAATATTGCTTATGATCCTCAGATGAACGGACAGATAGAGGTGGTTATTCGTAGTGTGAAAACTTATCTTCAGTGCTTTGTATCGAATACACCAAAGTTGTGGGAAAAATGGTTGGCATGGATAGAGTATTGGTATATCACTTCTTATCATTCGGTAGCTCAGACAACATCGTTTAAAGTGTTATACGGAAGAGATTTGCCTTACATGATACATTATGGACAAGGTAGCACTCGGTGGCATCAGTAGAGCATTACTTGGAAGATAGGCAAAATCTTGGCAGAGCTGAGGGACATATATTGAGAGCTCAACAAACTATGAAGAGGCACGTAGATGCACAAAGCTGAGACATTCAATTCGAAATAAGGGATAGAGTTTACCTGCTATTTTGGTCCTTAAGAGATAATGGAGCCCATCTGTGCCGTGGAATATTGCCTACAATTACCACCATTGTCAACCATCAACCTAATGTTTCCTAGTTGCGAAGATGATTGGAGAGCACATTCCATCTTCTTCACTTACCCCAACCTTGATGGATGATATGGAGGTGTTGTTGGAGCCATTGGAGGTCAAAGGAATGCGCCAAGGAGTGACGAAAAGCAATGAAGTGTTAATTAGGTGGAAGAATCTTACTGAGTACGAAACCACATGTTAGTCCTACCAGACTATTTAGCAACATTTCCCTTCTTTCCACCTTGAAGATAAGTTGGTACTTTTGAGGGGAGTATTGTTAGATCGGTCCATGAGGGACTAATCCAACCGGTCCAAAAGGTACCCACCCTGGTTTACTCCAGGCAGAAATGAGGTCCACCCCAGCTAGATTCTGCCCCCCCATTTGGGTGGGGCCTAGGGTTTGATGCAAGGAAGAGGGGGCGGCTAGGAGGATGATTAATTAGGAGATGTTTCCTAATTGAAGAGAGTAGATTTGTGGGTTGATTTGGGAAGGAATTAATTAGAAAATGATTCCTAACTAAAGAAAGAAGATTTGAGGGCTAATTGGGAGGGAAATAATTAATGAAATATGGTAGATTTGAGAGGGAATTGGTGGAGGGCTGTTTTGGTATTTCTTGTTTATTGTTTGCTTTAAGTAGTTGATTTATCCTAGAGTTAGGGTTATGTTTTTGGTATGCAGAATTTTGTGAGGTTTTGTTGTCCACTGTTTTTTTGGTGATTCTAATGGCGCTTAGGATTTGAAAGAGGATCATTGCAACTTGCTTGTTCGTGTTTCTTTTTCTTATCAATAAAATATATGAGTTTGCTGAATTTTACCGTTTGTTTGACGATTTTGGGGCTCGAGTCCTATAATATATATATTCATCAATGAATCCATATAAATTTTTTAGTATTTTGATATGTTGATCTTTTTTTTTTTTTTCGTCCCTTTTTGTTGTATTGTACGTGTTTGAATTACTTTTTATCTATTCTCCAATAATGACTAGTGCTTCTTTACCTTGCAAATACCATTTATTATGTATAGAAAACCAATTTGTTTGTGAATTTTAACTGCAATTAACTATTTCTCGAAGAGAGTTTTGTTGGATGAAGTAACCAAGCATTCTGTTTAGCTTATCGAGTTAACTTCACTCTCTTCCAGGGTGACGCATTATCAGTTATTTGGAAAAAAAGAAATGTTGGATTCTTGTAGTGAATTAAAACGATTGATTAATGAGAAGAAGTGGAAGAGGAATAGAGGGGACATTCAAATTCATATTTCTTTGCACTACATGTTAAAAATACCCATCAAAGTCACATTTTGTATTAATATTTCAAAAAACCTGTCTTGGTTTTTTATTTTCACCCTTACATTCACTTTCTTTACTGCAAACAGGGAAGTGAATGAAGTTCAAAAACTCTTTGGTCCAGTTGAATATTTCATGGGTGACAGAAGCGTTGAAGAAACTATAAGAAACATGAAAGCTGTGGACAGAGCTGCTTTTGGTTTCAAGTGCAAAGATATTATTGATATGGGGAGGGTCCTCTGGCTTAGAGAACAAGGATTAGATGCAGTGCTTGTGAAGTATGTGCCTCACAGAATTTCTCCCGAGAATCATTTGTTGTTAGCAAAATCTCGTTAGTTTTTGAAGTACAAAATGAAACATTTGTTCTGACCATCTATGTTCTTGGTCTTCCGGTTCAAAGGAATAATTTTTCTTTGAAATAGAATTTTTATAATTTTTAATTATATGGTTGAATGTTTATATGATGAGTTGATGTACACATGCCTTGTAATCTTTTGTGTTGTGTTGTTCTAATAATTTGTTTTATCACATATAGCAAAGATCTCTTTATAATATTTAAAGCTCTCATATTTTTATATTTAATATCTAAAATGTGCTATTCACTTTTATTTTAGGATATCATTGCCAATGATATCAGCGAAGCAATAAAATATTTATTTTCCAATAGTAATCTTCCAAAAAATTGCAAAGGCCTTTGTGCTAGCTCAATTTCCGGCTTTAGAGCTTTTTTACTGTGCAACTCCTATAAAATTATTGTAAAAATTTGAGCCCTCAAAGGCTCAAATGTTTATTCCTTTTTTCTGAGCCGTGGGGCGACTGGTTTTAATCTGGAGTGCTATTTGTTTGCTGCCATGTGTTCACATTATTATAATTTCGGATGTGGCTTTTTTCCTTGTTGCTGTGCTCGGTTAGTGTGGGCTTTGTGCTGCCTTACTTGGTTGAATTGTACCAGGCACATTGTTGAGCAATTGGAGTCATTTAAACCCTATGTCCTTTCCTGTGCGTATGCTAATGTGTTTTTTGGGCTTCCTTATGACGATCTTGGCTGCCTTAACAATTGTTAGTGCCTTCTTACTAATTCTTATGTGGATAAGTGCTGGATCTATCAATTTGCTAGCTTTTGGTTTTATTTGTGCTATTTTTATCTTGGTAGAATTTTTTTAGTGCAGTTGTTTGTTATGGCGGTTTATTGGATTGGAAGCTGGCTGTGGATGCTGATTTTTGTTTGCTTACCTCTTTTTGGGTGCTCGCTCTTGTGCACCGTATAATGTAATTAAGGTATTTTGTATTTTTTCCTAGTAGGGAACTCTAGTGCGTAGGTTTTTTTTCTTTTATTTTATTTTTTGTAGTTCTTTTGAGCATTAGTGAGCTTGAGATTCTTTTAAGGATTTTTTAATTTTTCCTATATTAATGTATAGGCCACTCAGTGGGTTAAAATAAATAAATAAATAAAAATAAAAATAAAAACATTATCCATGAAGTCAATAAGAATTTATTCAGAACAGGCTATCTCATGATAAAATTATCTTAGCAAATTTTAGGGGACTTCAATTTTAAGAAGAGAAGATTTTTTTGGTGCCAAATTTGATATTCACAAAACATTCAACATAGTTTTCATAGACTTCATCATTTCTATATTATGACAAAAAGGCTTTCCTCTTTCCTTTATTGGTTGTGTTAAAGCTTGCATTTACGAGGCTAACTTCTCTATTTGCCTTAATGGGGATTTGGAAGATTATTTTAGTTCATCATCTAATTTGCTCCAAGGTTGTTCTCTTTCAACTTATTTATATTACATAGCTATGAATTGTCTGCACAACTTTTTTTAGAGCCACAAATGCAGCAATACCTTCACTAGAATTATTGGGGGAAACTTCACTATAATCTCATTTATTATATCCAGACGACTTGCTTAATTTTGGGAAAGGCATTCCCCAAAACCTAAACTCCATTAAATGAATTATGGATTTTGCGGTCATGTGAGAATTAAGGCAGTTAAAAGTGTCATGTCATTTTTCAAACAAACTGCTAATAAGGAGGGTCATAGCTCTATTCTCAATCTACCTATTAGTGATGGTTCCTTCAAATATCTTGGCATTCTTATATCCATGAAAAAGATTCTTATTTCTTGATACCAATTCCTCATTCAAAAAGCCTACTCTCTTGAACCATTGGAAAGCCAAAAGTCTATCTTTTACTAGCCGTATTCAGTTCTTGAATTTTAGTATATGCCAATTTATAGATTATTGGATAAGAGGTGCTATCTTGCCCAACTCTTGTTCAAACACACTGAATCTACTATGTGTGCGCTTCCTCTTTCATGGAGACATCAATGCTAAAAAGATTCAGCTTATTTATTGGATGAATACTTGCAGGCTTTAGCATAAAGGTGGCCTCAACATCTCATCATTATTATCCTTAACATTTGCATACAATTGAACCATGATTAGGAGATTTTTGAACTCACAAAACCAATTGGCCAAATGGTGGAGATCAAAATACATATCCTTATGACACCCCTAACCCAAGAACCCATCTATGTTTTGGAAAAGGCTTCAAGCTATGGTCAATTCTATAAAGCAACACATATCTTTTAACATCACACTGAACATAAATGTTTCATTTTTTTGGGATCCTTGGTGTAACGGTAAAGCTTTATTTGATCTTCATAACATTAAAAATCTTCTTCCTAACCTTTCCCATGTATCCAATGTCTCAGCATTTCTACTCCAACATTTGGACTCTTCCAGAAATCCACCCTACTTAGTTGAACATGCTTAAGATTGACCCCATAAATGCTGGCTCCTCCTTGAAATTCCATTTGTAGGATTAAAATTGCGCCTCTCTCAGCTCTTTAGTTTTTTTATGAAGAACTTGATAATGTCTATTGGTATAAATACATTTGGAACAAAAATTTTGCTATGAGATTTTTTGCAACAGCCTACTTGGCCCTTTAAAATGGCTTGACAATAGCAAATATTCTGAGACATTGAGGCATAATCACTCATCCCCACTGCATTTTTTGTTCCTTAAATGAATTTATCAACCACCTCTTCTTTGAATGTGATGTCACATTCAATATTTTGTCCAATAATGTTATGTTAGCTTTGGTCTTCTTGCTTATATTGAACATTTAACAAACTTTTGATCTCTTTAAGGACTTTGATACGTACAATCCCATTATTAAAAGAAAGTGATATTTGTCTATTTGCTGCAATACCTATTATATTTGGCTTGAAAAGAATAGCGGGATTTGACAGCTCAATTCTTAGCACGTCTTTACTTATTCAAATTAAAAAATTCATATTTTTTCAAAATCATGAAGTGGAGAAGCTTGCAAGTTTGATATGGTTCTACACATTATGGTGGCTGTTCTCCCACTACTGCAAGATGATGAAATCCCCATGCTTTGTTGGTTCTTTTCACACTTCTTGGTCAACCCTCGTTTGGCAACTAGAAGTGTTTTTCCCTCGACTATTGCATTATGGTATGATTCTAACGGTTAATTTTCTAGATTGTATTTCAAACTTTTATTAGTCTAGTTATTTTGCTCTTTTTTTTTTCCTAATTTATGTTTTCTGGGTTGCTTTGCCGCCTTTTCTCTTTTCAGAGGTTTGATTTCCATGTCTGCATTTGTTTTCAAATTTTGTTTCCATCCAAGCATCATTGTCTTTTTGATACTGCTCCTAGTTTTATAGTCAATACTTGTTCAAAATGTATACTTGGGCCTTTTGCCCTTTATAATTCTAGCCTTTTATCAATGGAAAAGGGCTTAGGTTTCATTTTTCCAAAAAAAAAAAAAAAACTTTAGGACCTAAAAAATAATACTATTAGGCATTAACATTGCTAATACTCTGTCATCTCCATTTTTTTCTTTGCCTTACGTCCCACGTAAAATGCGTATCCCTCCTTGGCATGATAAAGAGCGAGCTTATTTGTTCTTTCTCAAACTATTCACAATTCCATGTCCTTGCTCATAGACTACTTGCAACTTTTATCTCCCTACTTCATTGCCAACCTAAATTTCATACACTTATTTCTGCCCCTCACAACAACTCACTACTCTACTCCAACATATGATATGTTCTACTCATTGAAGGTTGAATCTGAATTGCAACTTTTCAACAACCAAATCAATCTCTACCTTTGGCTACCTACAGGTATTATCAATATTTGATTTCATTGTACTCATATAAAATGTTAATATTGTAAAGGGAGATGTAATGAAAATTCTGTTAAGAAATACATTTCACTTCCTCTTTCATTGTGACTATGGTTCTTCCTATCCTCTATTTTTTGTATTCAATTAACCCATTGTTGTCTTTACCCCTCAGGTAAATATGCATAGTTTGACTTTGTCCAATAGCTGCTGGCATTTTTGTCTTTTTTTTTTTTGCGGAGCTACAGTGAGAAAGCGGGATGGACCAGTTGCTGAGCCGATGGGATCCATTAAAGGGGGAAACATGAAAGAAGGGAGAGGGGCTCAAAGGGGAATGATTTCATCTTTAATTACTAACCATAGAAAACAAAATTTGGGTGGGAATTAGGTTAGTTTATTTAGGGAAAAGCGGCGGTGGGGGGGGGGGAGGGGATTATGCAGATTTATTTAGGGAAAGAGTGCTGATTTGAATTCAGATTTGGGAGAGAATTAGGAAGGTTTTATTTAGAGAAAGATAGTTGCTGATTTGAATTCATTTTTTTTTGAGAAAAGCAAATAGGTGCATTAATAACTAAAAAAGCAAAATAGACTATAAACAATTAACATCTGATTCATTCTTCAACAAATTAATAAAAGAAGGAGGAACCTTATTCATTACTATGTCTTCCCAAATAAAAGAACTAAATATAACATAGTTAGCACAAAGATCTGCTAACTTATGACCTTCCTTATCGACACAATTAAAGATAACAAAATTAAAATCTTTGATAAAAGAGAGATCTCCCAGTTCCTGGCCGCCTCTCCTAACACCTGTATGAAGAAATTTGATAATATTTTTGTTGTCACCTTCAATAATTAAGCCCTTATAAGCAAACATCCAATATTTAACAACAACCTTGATAGATTGAATAGCTAGCAACTCCAATTTAGATATATCCCAATGAACACAAGCATGACCAAATGCCAACAAGAATCTTCTCATATAGTCTTGAAAAACACCTCCAATCCCAGCCTTGTAGGACGTTAATAATGAAACATCTACATTAACTTTGATCCAATCGGGTGGAGGAGGACGCCAATGATTATCCAGAAATCTATAAGGTTGATTAATATCCAAGATACCCGGGTTAAAATAATTAAAATATTTTGAAACTGCAGCAAACCTCACAACATTAGTTGCAATCACCAACGTGTTGCTGTCCAATCCACCATGATAAACTCGTTCCTAGCCTTCCAAGATAAGAATACGGTGTTGCAAAATAAGTTAACCAACCAATGATTCTGATTATACAACCATTTACATCAGATATCAAAGGAATTAAAATCAGGAATACCGAATCCCCAATTGTTTAATTATTGAACAACGACTTT